TTTAATTTAAAAGTGTTTATTAATTAAATTTATTTTAATTTAAACAAAATTATATTAATTGAATTATTTTTAATATTTTTCAGGTTGTCACCGTGCTGTCCGATCAATGCCGAAAAATGACGATTTTCGAAATGGAAATCGAAGATGATGAGGACGACACGGAAATGTCGCAAAATTCGCTGTTAGAAATAAGTAAAGAATCTGCGACTTCTTCAAATGAGTGAAATAAAACAGAGATTGTCTATTTATTTATACTTATTTATATTTTTCCTGCTTTTTGTTTATATAGGAGTGGCATTTTGTAGTAGTCTTTTTCTTTACGTAAAAAAAAAAAAATAGCAAAATAATATACACAAAATATTTTCGTAACAAAATGCAGCAAGCCACACGTAAAAAAAACGGTAACTACGATTTTATAGATTTACCTTAAAAAAACTTAAAAGCATATCAGCATAAAAATATTTAGCCTAAACGCCAATTGTGCTTCCTTTTTACTCTCAAACATTACTTCATTTCGTATTGATAAGCGTCATCTGAATCCTCATCGCTCGACATGTTCCGCCGACGTCTTCGCTCTTCGCGTTTACTGCGCTTTTTACCGCCCGTCTCTGTTGTTTTGTCATCTGCGTCATTCTTCTCTACATTCTTGGCAGGTGGTGGCACTTCTTCCACTACAGTCTCCACTTTCTCATTGTTCGCCGCGTCATTGGCTGTAGCAGCTTCCTCTTCGCTCTTCTTCTGTGATTTTACCAATTCGCACAAATATTTATAGCGCACTAAACACTCCTCCTTTGTCTTTTCTGGCACGCAGTTGGCTATTTTTTGCCAACGATCGCCAGTTGCATTTTTGCGATACTTAATAATTGCTGATTCCAGAGCACGTTGCTGTTCTTGTGACCAATTTGTTTCCGGCACAAGTATTTGATTGTCAGTTGCGGCAGTTTTTTTCACCTTCTCCTTCTTTGCCACCTCTTGCACTTGCGTTGTGAACTCGCTGCTTTGTTCGGAGCTTTGTCCAGGAAGACGATAGCCGTTTTCTTTCATTTTCGCTGCCATGAAAGTCACTTCTTGCACAGAGCGATTCATTGTTTCGGCAATGATATTCCAACGTGCGCTCGAGCCACCGGGATGTTTTTTCACTAAGCGTATCAATTCGGTGAGATCTTCATCGGTCCAGAAACCACCGCTTAGTGTTGCCTAAAATATTATAAATTTTTATTTACATGATACCTACAGAAAAACAAATTCTGCTTACTTTTTGTTGTACAGGCTTGACGACATCATCTTCGGTCAATTCACGCGCTTGTATCCGCGAGTAGCCACGCAATTCCTCGTCAGTCTTTTCGGGCGCTGTGGTGTTTTGGCGTCGTTTGCGAAGATTTTCCTTTTTTTCTTTACGTAAACGTGCCTGTTCTTCCAATTCACGTTCGAGCTCCTCTTGACGCTTAACTTCCTCAAGTTCACTGTAAATATAGTCCATTTAGGTTTATGCATATAACGAGAAGAAAATTCTTACAGTCGCCGTTTTTCTAAAGCAATCTCCTTAAGCTCATTAGCTCGACTAAATGCTTCTTTGATAGTGCTTGGCAAATGCCAAATAAAAAGTGGAATTTGAAATGGCAAGGTATTCTGAAAGAGAAAATACACAATTTTACAATATGTGGGTTAAACCTTATGATCACTTGTATTACCAAAACTGAAGGTGAAGGAATTTCTTTTAGTATAACGTCCATATCAATACTTTTATTTTTCTTCTGTAACTTTTTCAGTTTAGAACCAAATACTTGCTCCTGAAAATAGAGTTGATTATAACTTTGGTTTATTAAATTCACTTGATTTTCCAACTTACGGCAGTATATTTCTTTTCCAGATAAGCAGCCCAGGCAAACAAATACTGACCAATAGTAATAATGACGAAAAGTATTGCTGCCCCTTCGTAGAGACCAATCTTACGCATACGCCGATAGTAATATAAAGCCGACTTCCAATTTGGCAGGCCCTCACGCAAAACTTTATTATACTTCTCGCGTTTCGACGCCTCCTTTAACACTTCGTAGATGGATACCAAGTTACGAAATTGTATGTTGGCGTCTTCGGATGGATTTTTGTCCGGATGCAAGACAATAGAGAGTGAACGGAAGGCACGTTTAATCTCATTATTTGTAGCCTCTTGTGATATGTTCATAAATTCGTAGAAATTTTGGTTGATTTCTTCAACCAAATCAAATATTTCCAACTCATCGGAATCCCACGCCAAGGCGCCCCAACAGCAGCTACACAGCAGCAGTAAATTTACGTAAAATTTCATTCCGTATTTTTAGCGGAAAAAAGCCAAATAAATTAAACTATTAACACAACTGGTACAAGGTTTTGACCAGCAGACTAGAATAATAGAAATGACAACGTCAACAATTGTGAGCAAAACAAAAAGAAGTATATGACATTTCCTCGCAGGTGATGGACAGCATGACACAAATGAATACGTTTCTAGTTTTTATAAAGAAAAGTGCGTAAATTATTAAAAAATATAAAAAAATAAAAAATAAAAAAATTAATATAAAAAAAAATTAATATAAAAAAAAATTAATATAAAAAAAAATTAATAAAAAAAAAAAAATTAATTAAGTGTATTCTATTTTAGCTTATAACATTTTTTTAAAAACATGTACCACTCTTTTTTTTATAAAAGCGTTGTTGTATTTCAATAGTATACATAATATAGTCGGTTTAAATGCATTCACATAATTGTTCGATAGGTCTGGCTTTAAGCGCGGTTAATTCCTCAACTGTATAACGGTAAACACATTTCCCGCTAATCCAGGTTGATTTCACAAACAAGTCATCTGTTAACATAACGAAATCGGCGTCAGCGCCAAAATTTAAAGTGCCCTTTGTTTCTATAATTTTTAAACAGCTGGCCGGATGAAGTGTAGCGCATTCTATAGCATATACCGTTGAGCAGTCTAAAAACAAGCGGAAATTAGTTATTGGCTTTATACTATTAAAAAGTGAGTTTTACTAGTAGCCTTTTTAAAGATGCGCACACACGTATCCAGTGGAGCTATGCTGCCACATAATGTATCTGTGCCAGCAATGTAGGCCTTGCCTTCGCGCACTTCGAGCTCCAGTTGCCCTAAGTGATGTCTACCGTCACCTAGACCTAATGCTGCTATGGCATCAGTGACCAATATAAGCCCGTTCGGATGCGTGCGGTGTGCTATACGCAAAGCAGCCGGATGTGTGTGCACACCATCAGCTATAATACCAAAATAAATCTCCTGCCCTGGTGGTATGTTATTAGATGCCAACAAGCCCACGAGTCCCGGGTCGCGGTGATGGAACTGTGTTGAAGATAAAGAAAAATTTCTTATGAGTATTGTATGTTTTCATGCAAAAAAGTTTCAATTTAAATTACTGGAAGCATGGCATTGAACAGATGTGTTATCAAGCGTGCGCCACTTTGCACGGCCACTTCGCCTTGCGATAAATTCGCTACGGAATGCCCCAGAGCTACCGTTATACCCATTTGCGTTAGTACCTTTGTCACAGTACCCTCAGGATCCTTTTCCGGCGCTATTGTAATAATTTTGACATTACTCAAGTTGCTGTAGGTGTTCACCAAAGTGTCAATGCCCTGTAGTAAGCAAAAGGTGAGTTATATAAATATATTCAACATTTTTGTTTTTACCTTATCAATATCTCTTATGCAGTTTTCAGGATGTGCACCCTTCTTTTGTGGGCTTATAAAGGGTCCCTCCAAATGCAAGCCCAAAACTTGTGCGCCTTTTGTCTTGCCATCTACTTGAGGTATGATTTTGCGATAAATTTCCGGTGGAGAGGTTACAATTGTGGGACAAAACGAAGTAACACCATTTGTGATTAGCTCTTTAGCGACCTTCTCAATACCTTCGGCGACAGTGTCCACATCATGTGAAAAATCAACGCCATATCCACCTGTGTGAAAGAGACGTGAGCGAGAAATCTTCAGAAGAAGCTATCAGCAGTATCAGAAAATTAATAGTGTTTTTAAACATGTTCTTCGATGGTCAGCCAAATCTCCACATGTGCGAGTAACTGTGTTTACAGACGCTGATAAGATAAAACCCTGATCCCTTTATTTGTCGATAATGCACACTAATACTACTGTGTAGGCAGATATGGCGAATCGCGCTTTACATATGTATATACACATATTACATTAAATTTATACGTGAAGTGTTCATTGTGCAATTTTACTGTTGTTGTTGTTAGGGCATTGCCCCACATTCACTTTGTTTACCATTGATTTGCAGTTCAATGTAGCCAGGAGCAATTATAGAGTTTCCGCAGTCAATCTGCCTATGAGCCTGTGGAAGAAAAACAACAAAGTGAAGTTTATAAACTAATTTTATTTACTACGAATTGATGAGCTCATAATTTGACCTTTCATTTGACCCACCTGCTGCTTCTCGTCGAAGAACACCGGCTCCGGGTTAATGATTTTGCCATTGCGCACCCAGAGATCTTCTAGCACCAGCTGATGGTTGCGCACCAAACGACAGTTTACGAATTGCAGCAGTTCATATTGTGACATTTGCGAAGTTGGGTCAGTTGGAATTTCCAAACTGACAATCTCCGAAAAAGTAATGAGTAATTAATGAAATAAATTGAAACACAAAGTGAAGAATGCAAAACTCTACAATTCGCGGCGCACACTGCACTTAAACACACTACACATTCGACGTCCACTGACGCACTACATACTCGTATTTATGCCGTGGCGTTCACCAAACAAACCCACAAAATCGCTTGAAAACACTCCAACGGTGGAGCAGCAGAGCGCCAAGGTTGCGCCGGCAGAGCTTCTCATTTCACATAAAACGACGAGTCAGCTGTTTGATTTGTTGATAGGGTGTATGTGGCGAGTGTGGGCATAGAGATTGCAAGCTTTTGTATTATGGTGTTTTTATCGCAATTCGTTTGTGTATTTTGCACGAGATTAATTTTTGAGGTTAAGATTACTTGATTTATATATTACATAAGACTGCTGTGGTTTTGTTATTGCTATTTTTAATCGTGCAATAATACTTTGAAATACTGTCATTTATTGGTTAAGTATTATTATTAAAAAATTTATATATGTATTTGATAAGTCCTTGAGGTGCAATTTTAACTACATTAGTGTCAAGTCCCCCTTTTTCAGCTTTCTGAAACTCAAAACTCATGCTATAATCGATTTTTATACATGTAGGAAATCACAAGTAGTCAGAGAAGCTGGAAATACTTTCTAATAGAAGTGCCCATAAAGTTATCATTGATCACTTCATTTATTTTTTCCTGTTATAAATCTGGGTGTTCTAGTTCCGTAGAGCCCACTGTCGGTGAATGGTTAAAGAAGTCGGGGCTAAAGGCAAGATTAATTGGTACGTCAATTTCAAACTATCAGTACGTGTATTTGGACTGTGATTTTGGACCAGCTGTCTAAACACTGCGGTCTTTTGAAGTTGATTTAAAAAAAAAAAAAAAAAAAAAAAAAAAAAAAAAAAAAAAAAAAAAAAAAAAAAAAAAAAAAAAAAAAAAAAAAAAAAAAAATTGTTTTGGACGTTACCTATAACCTCTATATTTCATGATACCGTAACCCTGTCTGACTCATATTTTCATAGTCGTTAAGGAAGAATAATACTACTTACATATTCCAAACAGGGTTCGATCGCTGAAATAACAGCCCTAGAACGTATAAAATCCGGATAAATTCCGGTAACAAATGTTGCGACGTACCCTCCGAATTCAGATAAGTACTGAACGCCATTCACATTGGGCCAATTAACACCGTCACTTTCTCCCGCCCAGTGAATGGCGTCGCTGCAGTCTAACTATCCCACATTGTAGGAGAAGAGCGCGAGCTTCCTCGCGAAACATGAGTGACCGTTGTGCATCTTAGTTCTTGCTACTGTAGTAGGTTAAAATCTTACTCAACCAAAATCGGGCCTCACATTTCGTCCATGCAAAGAGTCTCCGAAATGACTCTAACCGCCTCTTTGCATGTCCTCGAAACCAACTCATCTAACACATCTACCTATGGTTCGACTCAGTCGCTAGACTCATGTCTTGGTTTTTCTGATCCGACTTCGCTGCAACATCACATGTCCTGGGTCTGCTGATAGATGATTTGAATGACAATTAACTTACGCCTTACCACCCGCAAAGGGTCGTTAAAACAACAAGAATAAATTTTTTACAACATCAAGCGAAGGTCACCACCCCTCGTGCTAATGTTTTCTTAGCTAATAAACCAAAACCGCAATTAAAACATTACGCAAAATAAATATTATGATTATGATAACGGAATAAAAATAACATTACGCAGACGATTGTGCCGGCACTTACCGCAATTCGGTGGGCGTATTTAAAAACCGCAAAAACACAGGCGGGTAATGAGGAGCCACGGCGCAGAGCTGAAGGGCGGCTGTCAGTCAATTTCGCACCATAATAAACAGAAGAGCTGTCTCCTCCCCGCGCGCCGCCATATTCGTGCTTTTCAACTGCTCTCTACTGTCTTTACGATTTGTTGTTTGTCTGTTTTCTCGAAATAATTTCGGTTGTTGCTTCCGCTGTTGGTTGGTAAAATTTTATTGCCAGCATTTGCTTAAGCGAATCTACGAGTGCTTGCCGCACGCGCCGCCCACCGCTGACACCGGAAGCTATGTGTAAGTAAACGAAGTTGTACAAGTCCACAAACGACGTTTTGCGCATATTTTAATGAATTTTGTTTGCTCGCACACTGTGTGGTATGTTCGTTTGTGCGCTCGTTTGTTCGTATTCATTTAACATTTTAATGAAATTTCTTAATTATACTTGATTAACATGGAAAAGATAATCGCATGAGGTGGGTGGCGAGCAGTTACTCGGAGCGAAAGTGAGCAAAGCATAACAAAGAGTAGAAAAAAAAGCGAAAAACAAATAACGGACACCAAAGGAAAGGCAAGCTTTCGCGCCAAAAGGTAGCAGAAAACACACAGCCAAACACACTCGCAGCGACACAGTTGTTGCATGTTACATGTGAGGGACGGCGGGGAGTGCGAGAAGTGAGCCAATGGGGCGCTACTTAAGTGTCTCGAGCGCGCAGTTGGCGCTGGTAATTAAGTGTGCCGTGGGCTGTTTGTGTTTCAACTGGCTGGTTGTGCGCCTAAAAGGCTGCTACATGCCTACTTTCATGCACTACCTCTATGCTATGAAGGCGAACTTTCCGCAATCAGCAATGCGCGCCGCATCTTATGCCACCCGGCGGTGCGCTTACCAGATACACGCGCCTGCTGCTAGCTTACGGTGGAGCTAAAGTTGTGCAAGACGCTTCTCTGACGCTGGCGATTGACAGCGCATGGCACACGCGCTGCATGCAGAATGCAGCCGCGCCCGGCTAAACGGGATTAGTGCCAGCATATGGCGGCTTGTAGATACATGGCGCTTCAGCGCTAGCTAAACGTGACTAAAATCGCAAGGTTCAATTACAGCGCACTGATATCTTCGCGTGGCGTCGCGTTGACGCGCCTGACAGGCGTGTGGAAATTCTGTACGTAACATTGAAAGCTGTGCACAGTGAATTGCAAGTAATTTGTGTTATTTAATCAACAGCGGGATTACATTTCCGCACTTTTACCTTGAACTGTAGGTGTCTTCAAGGCTGCAGAATTCTACGTCAGCGATGATTGAGGCGTGGTGTGGGTTATTCGTAGCTTTGACAACATAATATTAATAAACGGCGATGATTTACGCATAATACTCCGTGGAGCCACAATATGCCTAGTGTAACATTTAAGGGGTCAAATTTAGCGAGGAGTTTCTGAAGGGTGATCCATTTCAAGGTTTCCTACTTTTGTAAAGAAATATCACAGAAACTTCAAACCGGCGTGATCTGCTCCAGGGAGTGTTCTCTCGATAAATCCATTCATTGATGCGATGTTTGGGAAATGGCGCCGTCTAGTTGAAATAAAATGTCGCTGACATTACGAACTTCTATTTCAGGTATCAAATAGTCATATCATAACGCGATAACGATCGCCATTGATGGCTACGTTCGCAGGTCCATCATTTTTGAAGAAATATAGACCGATGATTCCACCTTGTGAAAGTAAGAAGAGCTTGATAAACTGGCCGATATATGTAATGCTCGAAAATTCTACGAAAAGATGCGGTGACAAACAGAAGGTTTTGAGACCGGAGCATACTCCCCCCAGAGGTGATATAGTGACTGATGCCCAGAGCATACTAAAATTATGGAGGGAATACCCGTGAAAAGAGGACCGATACACACCACATTTCAAAGCTATTTTCATCAGAACGGAAATGAGCTGCCTTTTAGCCGCTATGTCTGAATTTTTATATCGCCGCAAAGCTAATGCGGCTGCGTAAACTGACGTTGAGCAATACCAGAAGCTCCGTCAGGATCTGGAAGGATCTGTCCTAGCCGATCGATAAGCAATTGAATAAGTAAAAGAAGACCAAACTATAATTCACTCATCATTCCATGGACGATGATAACATCTGATGAGTAGGTGTTACGAGTTTTAAAATTAACGGTTCTGGTGAAGATTTTTGTTTCTTTGCGCATTGGCAACGGCGAATACCACAGCCGATGGAACGATGAGCTATACGAGATATACGCTGACATTTACATATCTTAGCGAATTAAGAGGTAGTGCAGTACCCGCCGGGGAAAGCAGAGGAAGAGGAAAATCTCTGCTCCATTTGAAAGACCAGGTTGAGAAGGAGTTGGATACGCTTAAAATCTCCAATTGGCGCCAACTTGAAAAAAGGAAAAAACGACTGGTGCGCTGTTATAAACTCGGCTACAGGTGTAATCGAGTAAGTGGTGTCTACGCCAACAAGAAAAAAGGTTGTTCCTGCATAATTGGTGGACTTTCTCCGCACCAGAATCGACAGTTTTCTTTATATACTGCACCACTCAGATGAAAGTGAGCACCATCGGAAATGCTGATTTTCTTACAAAAATCGTTATCGTTTTCAAATAGTTCCAAGGCAAGATCAGCAAATTCAGGATATTTACGGCGGTCCAATGGCTTCAGTTCTTGAGTGAGTAATTTTATATGAATGCAAGTCCAAATCCTTTCTCAAAATCTACCAGTCCCAACTCTTGAAAACGTCTTGGAATCTACAAACTGCGGTCTTCAGCGACATTTGCCTGAATGGAGGCATTGTTTTTAATTATTTCGAGCGGGGCTTTGTCTTACCGACACTTAGAAATTATATCATCCCTATTGGAAAACTGAGTACAAAATATTTTTTACGAGAACTTCGATCGATCAGTTTGTATATGCTATAGTGACTCGATCTGAACAAATTCTTCGGAGTTTGCATCATTGCCTTGGAAAATAATACATGTAAAATTTCTTACAGATGTCTAATGCAAATGCTTTCCAAACAACCTTTTTGTTCCGATCGTTCAGTTGACTGCTATGAGCTTTGAAAGTGAAGTACCACTGTGAAGTTATTCCCTATAAGTATTTCGAGTTGTCAATTTATAAGTTTTTTTTGCCGCTTTTTGCGGCAGTATTCGCTTTAGCACTAACTTGTTGAAGGGAGATTAAACTAAGGTATCAGGAACATACGCCTGCGCTCTGAACACATATTCCATAATATGCTTGTAAGTGTGTGTTAATGTTTGCATGTATGTGCGCCTATGTATCTTAAGTTTGATTACATCACAGACATCACAGTTTCACTTGACAAAATGAAGCCGTTGCATTGCGTTGCGCCATTCTGCGCCAACTTCCATCACACCAGCAACAG